CAGTTTTATAGCCCATGCATTTAGAAAGGGGTGGCTGTGAAACGCAAAGCAGATGCTGTGTATTTGAAGGAAGCTAGGAAGACAAGGGCAATCCCGGCCCCCAGTGAAGTCCTTGAAAAATTTCCATTGACTTCACAGGAATATGAGTACTTGCTTGATACTTAACATTCCTGTGATGGTTTTAATGTGTTATAAGTTGCATTTGCAACATGCACATTGCTGCAGGTTTAATACACCACCCACTACTGACTATCGATCTAGCTGTCCTTAAAAGGTTTTCATATTCAAAAAATGCAGCAGCCCCTCCCTCTGTAGTACAGTTAATCTCAAAGCAACCCACTCTGCATATTTAGAATGGAGAAATTTCAAATTGTTAGTCATTTCTGGAAATTTAAACTATTTAAAATATATTTAGTATTAAAAAAAGCTAAAACATTACAGTAAAGTGGATCTAGAGGGAAAGGAATTTATACTGTGGGGTGAAATCATGCTAAAAAACACCTGTGTAGTTTCAGAGTTAAAAAGACAAAATGACAGCATGTAATTTTAAAATGTATGTGTTGTTTATTTTCCCCTTTAAAAACATTAGCAAATACAGCTTCAGTTTAGATTAATCACTTAGCATGTTTTTTTGCTTTTCTATTTTAGCAGGTACATGGGAAAAGTATTTATTAAATATAGTGTTTCCTTCTTCATTCCTAAAGCATCCTCACAGTCAAAAGACAGAGGTTCATACTAGAACTTAAATTTACAGATAAGTTATGGAGCTCTAGATAAAGCAACTCAGTGAAAATGTTGGCTGTTACATGATTAGAGCCACAGCTATAATTCTGTACTAGTAACAGGGTAGAATATAGACTAGTATAGGCCAAGTAATTAATTTAATCTGCTATAATTCTTTTAAGACTCCTCATATTTGTTGTTATTACAGAAGTATGGCTTTGTCCTAGCCAATATCTCACCTTGTGGTAAAATAAAGGTCAATCTCCACATAGTATATAATCAAAATAACTCAAAAGAATCAGATGCTGATTTTATTGGCCATTCTTGAGGCTGTTAGTAACTTAGAAAGGTAATAGGCCCAGAACTGATCACAGTGGTGCACAGACATTTGTAACAGCCAGATGGCAAAAGAAATGCATCCCTCTATAAAGAACTACATTCCTGTCACAGAGATGTTGAGTTATTGCAACAGAAAATAAATTTAAACTATAATTTCTTTCTTACATAGGTAGCTCCATTGGACCTTGCTTCCTCCCTTTGCTTCATCACCCTTCCCACTGACTGCAGAGTAAGCAAGGATGCTGGGAACAGGCAGAGCAGAATTGTTAGGCTGGGGAGAGAAAAGCCGGCACAGGGCTAGTACCAGACAGTAAACATATCACATAGTGAGAGCACAGCCACAGGTGGACTATCTTGGTTCTTCCACCTAGATTTATTAGGGTCATGCCTATCCAAGACCTTCTGTGTGATTAGTGATGTTTGCCAGCCCTGCAGGGAGCATGCAAGGCTGGTAGACACTCTTAAAGTCTTTGGACTAGTGACTAATAAAAAGAAACACAAAAGGAAGGTGTACAACAGAAGTATTACTTTAAAAAAAAATTGGTGATCCGTATGGTAAACAGCTATGCATGGCACAGGCTGGGCCCTGGAAGTGGTGAAACAAGACAAACACTTATGTGGAAAGACAGACTAATCTGGATTGCCCACGCAACAAGAAAATCAAGGAAGCAATGCTATAAGCATTTCCACTACTTTCCCAGACAAAACCTGTCATAGGCAGTATTTGTTTTGCATACACCAGGATGCCTTTCCTGTGCCCTAAAGTGATACTGGGTATTTCTGATCACATTATGGACCTAAATCCTCTCCATCTCTCAGCTGAGAGTAGTCCTAGGAGTCAGGCAAGCCCAGTTCTCACCTCACCTGCGGTGGCATACCAAGTATGAACACCTGAAATCCCTTTGACAGTCATTCTTCAGTCTCAGAGAGCTTTCTATGTCTGGGTTGTTTGCAGGATTTCATTTACATGTCACTGCAACAGCTGCAGCCTTTGCTGAACTGAGCAATAAATGCCAGGAGCCTGCCTTAGTCTTTCAATAGTCATACCAGAACCTCCTCATGGCTCAAATCCCATATAGCGAGCAGATATCATACACCTGAATAAAAACTGGGCCACCTGCCCTGCAAAAGCAGGTGTGAAACCCAACTTCTAAGACTGAGCAGTAAGCACTTACCAGTGTCTTCCATGTTGAAATTTAAGATCCATTACCATTAGTATTCCTCACAAACCCACTTCCACATGTGCCATCTTCTGGCAACTCCTCTTACTCAATCCAGTTTATTCACACACATCACACATTTTTCACTTTTTTGCTGCTCTAAACTCTTCTTCCAGTCCTATTTTCCTAACTTTTTTCTCTTTCCAGCTTCTCTCCTGTCTCCTAAAAAGCAGTCATCACTGGTATATGCATAATTTCCCAGCCCCCCAATACAGGTAACACCAACATGAATGTTCAGACTGACAGAAAGATTTTCCATTAAAAAGACAAAGCAAAGAAACAAGCACTGACCTGATATTTTCTACACCTCATTTTCTTTCCTATATTGATACAAAAGGGGTATGGGAAGGGGCACACTCTCTTAAATACAAAACCTAGCAGCTTAAGAATTCCACAACAGGAATCATGATAACTTTTTGGTTTTTTTTTAATATCCTTTACCCTTACCCACCTCTTATCAATACCAATATTGTCATACCCACACTAAATCCAGTAATCCCATCCTCTCAGCCTTGCTGCCTGATACTTCTTTCTGTGACTTGGTGTGTCTTTAATGAGATCACATAATTCTTAAAGCAGCAACTTTGTGTTTTCACTTTTACAGGAAATTGCTCAGGGGTCTGACGAAATGACAAACACAGTAATAACAAAACAACTGATTCACTTCAACAGGAATTGCAGAGAAGCACCGTTGAATCAAACACACCAGAGTGAAAGTAAATGATCAGTTTGAAAGGAAACAAACTCCTCTGTGAAGGAAATACTGATGAAAAATGTTCATGAATAATTTTGAAATGGAGGATCAAAAAATCCTAACAATTGTCAGTTTTGCTGTTGTTGGAAGGAAAGGTTTGTCAGAGGGTGCAAGCAAAAGAAAGAAGTGGAAAAAGCTGGCTTTTATAAGATGAACAAAAGGAGAGCAAAGTGTCTGAAACCTTGGCTCTAGAAACTTGCTTTAACTTTTTGTCCTCGTAACGTGAACTCAAATGATTTACCCTTCTGATTCTAATTTCAGCTTCTGTGGGTGAATTTCATTCATAGTAAATTAGATTAGGAGGGGCAAACCAATGTTTTTTAGAGGCAGCCTGTTACAACTTGAGTAGGATGTACCAATTACTGAAGCCCTTTAAAGTTTCAGAAACCTGTTCAGCCTTTTTTCTTAAACTGGCATTATACCAGAATACTTTCTAATCCACTTTCCAGTGCAAGGAAACCAACACACTAGGCATCACTAACTACATACTTAAAACTCAGCCAAAACAAAATATATCACTTACCTGGTGTAATATGACTTCATGATAAAGGACTTTGAGCAACCTGATCTATTGGAAGGTTGTTCCATGGGAGGGAGTTGGAACTAAATGATCTTTAAGGTCCTTTCCAACCCAAACCATTCTGTTGATCCTGTGACTCTGTGACCTGGATAGATGTTTGTTATACTGCATGTTCCTTATGATAGGTTTTGACAATGTACTGCACTTGGAAAATGGAAATGCTCATTTAAACTGACCCTTAAGATACAGTTAAGGGAAACATTTCACATAGGTTTTAAGTATTGATCAACCTTTAAATGAAACTGTACAAAAGTTAAAAGGGAAACTATAGTATGCTTAGGATAGGAACCACCTAAGCCGACTTTAGTCAAGCATCCTAATGTCAAATATTTAATCTAAGCTACTTGCATAGATTCCATTTACAGTCAGTGCTGAGAGGTAAGTGGGTAGTAAGTACCTGCAGGGGTAACTCAACACACCTGTTATAAACACATAATTTAGGACAAAATGAAGTAGTGCTTGTAGGTGCCCCTCTCTACTGATTTAAGGGGAAGACTAGAACACTGCTGCAGAAGATACTTAACTTCTAAATGATTAAATGAGGTGTAATTAATCCTTTCCTTAAGTGCTAAATATAAATTATATATAAAAGGTGAAAGGAGGATAAGACAGATCTATCTTGTATATTTGTCTGCAAACAAGGCTAAATACTAATGGTGTGGGCTTCATTGTTACTGGATTAAGAAAGAAAAAGGATTAAATTTCTTATCAGCAATATTTATGTAGTGAAGTTAGATCATAAATCCAAAATAGCATTGATGCTGGATATTTAGTAGTATAACTGAGGTCATAACTTGTCCCTCTGTAGTTTAAATAGACCAAATATGATGCACAACGTTTTTTTCCAGTTTCTATTCAAAGCTGAATTTCACCCACAGTAAATTAGAATTCTCTGGCAACTCGCCCATAACCTTTAAACTTTTCTAGTTAATGATTTTAATACAAAAAGGCTTTTTATCAGTAAATTGTGTCTGGATTGGAACCAAACTCTGACTCCTACTCTTTCTCCATGCCACAACATTTTTGTAAAGCTGAATAAATATGTTACACTGAACCTGGGTCTTTGAAGTGTAAACATCAACATGCTACAGTAACACAAAACAGTCCAAAAATAACACATTTATAGCCAAATTATTTCTGCAGTATGCAATAGCCAAATAATGCAATACCTTCACCTGAAAAAAAATACTGAGTAACAGTAATCTGTATTTAAGTGGTATCTGAAATGTATTATCATTCTTGTTTCATTTTTCCCCCTATGCGTTTAGTTCCCTATGCCTAAAAATAAAAAGAATTGTAAACCTGACAATTTTATTTCAGATACTTCTGTGACAACTATTAAAAGAGCATCATCAGATATGCAAATTTGAAGAAATAAGGTTACCTGAAAAGGCTTTTGTTATCTGGCATAATCCCTCTTTTCTGCAAAGGAAATGCTGGATTTCTGGAAGCAGGTTTACCTATAAGTACAAAGAAAAGCTTTGATGATCCCTTTCAGAAAAGTGTTCTTTTGCCTAGAGCCTTCAATGGGTTTGCATTTAATTTATCAGAGACACCTCATGCGCAAAACTTCTGTCAGTGTGAAAAGGGAATTACAGTGCCATCCATGCAACACAGGATAATGCAGTCAAGGATGGGCTCTTCCTCCATGGCTATAATAAAACACAATTTTAGACGTATGGCTCTCCTCCTGGCTGCTGAGTTTTCACCCCTTCCTGGCCCCTTTTCAGTTTCTGCAGCTTCTCTGTTCTCTGCCAGTTATCAATCACTGTCTCTCCCTGCAGGGAAATAGCCTATGCCACTTGAATTGCTGTGCTTGGAAATAGTGGTAAGCTAACACAGCTAAACCACATCCAGGCTCTGAAACAAAGGACTGTGTTGCACTGTGGTATGGACATACCAGCAGCAAGTAAGCCCAATATTTAAAGTTATTCAGTGATATGGGCCATCTGGATTAAGTCCCTGCTGTGCTGCACACTTCTGAGAGAACTTGGATAATTCCTTTGATCACCTTGTGCCTCAGTTATCCATGTGTGAAACTTCTGGACGTTTGAGAGTGCTGTAAGGATTATTGTAGTGCACAGTATTAGAGGCTCAGATGTGCTATTATAGGTATAATGAGCAAGAAGCAGTGTGCAGAAGCCTGGGTTGTTTTATGATCTGGGATGTGAACCTAACGCATGTACATTCCTAGCAAACTGGAACCATGATGAAAATTTCCCTTTGGATGCACTTAGATAAGACATCCTGTCCCAGGGAACCCCAGTGTATATGATTCTAGGTCTGCTGCGGACACAGGTGTTTTTTTATATCCTTATGAGCTTCATACATGAACTAGATGATACCTTATAAAAGCAGTTCTATCTCTTCAGTCCCTCAAGACAGAGTTTATACTTTTGGGTCTTGCCATTATCTGTGTATGCATGTGAAATATAAGCCAAACTGTACCCATAGTCTGGTCACATTTTTTCAAACAAAGACCTCAGTTCAAATCTCATATTTTTTACGAACAAGTCAGGTACTTAATTAGACATCTGCATGTCTAAGTAACCTAAACTGTGCCCACAACATGCTCAAGTAAAAAATAAAAAAACAAAAACAAAACAAACCAACAAACCAATCCTGAAAATAGCGAGAAATATTGGCACTGATGCTTTGGACTGTGAATAAGCAGATTGCAGGGCAGAGCAAGGAACTGCCATGAAGGCCCTGGAGGAGGGCAGTGGTCCAGCTCACACATTATCAATCTTAGAAGCACTGTCATTATTTGGAGAAATGCCTAAATGATGTTTAGAAAGGAGCAATTACATTAGCTGAAACTCAGTAGTGATACAGGATGCGAAGCCTAAATTAATTTAGCTTTATCTTCTGCCTATGCCATTATTCTGAAATATTTCATGCATTTGCTAGCTGTTTCTTCCCATTTCTAAATTCTCTTTTCCAGCGGGGTAAATTGCTTAAATTTCCCATGACTTCTGTAGAAGCTTTTTCTGTCTGACATGCTACTTGAGAGTGGCCAACAACAAAAAAGGTTCAAGCCAAAGAAAAGAAAAACTTGATGCTCCGTTGTAACAATTTTCAGTATTACACTGAAACATTTACAATCAAAGTAACATACTATGTCCGAATGAGAAGTTGTTTGTGATCACTGGGTGTGATATAAAGAAGAATGAAATGTTGGTATCTAACAACTATTCCTCAGTAGACAAAAAGCTTGAAAAAATTTTTCTATTGGTGTTAAGTCATGCTGCTGCAATATAAAACAAGTACTAGATGCTTCTCTTTTTGTGAGTGCTGAAAATCTGAGCTAGCCCTGCCCTCTCATTTCTACAAAAAATAACATGATAATCGCATACCTTCTGGAATAGCTCTAGATGATGCAAGTCTTCTATTTGAAAGCAGCCAGTACCATCATTTTTTCTGGAAGATAAGCAAATCAAAAGATCCCAAGGGCTGATGCCACCTACCAGGAAAGAAAAGAAGCATATTGAGAAAGTAAATATCATCAATTCCCATTTGAACAAAAAATACTTAGATCCAAATCCTGAGAAATAGCCAACCGTTGCAATGCTGAGTACATGAACACCTACAGGTGGCAGAAGGAAAAAAGACATACTACCACAGTTTTTTACCTGCAGTGTGATCTTCTGAGGTCTTTCGTTATTGGGAAGTAAATTTTACAGGAAGCAATACTAGTCATGCTATTGCAAACAGCAGGATTTTCTAGCCTGAATTTTTCTGTAGTGGCTTCTTAAATATTAGACAACAGTTTTCCAACATATGGAACTGGTGTACAAGTGGGGATTAAGTCACACTTAGCAAGCAGCTAGCTTCTGAGCTAGTTTTGGTGCTTCCTTTCTGGAGCAAAACTAGCCTGTGAGACCATGGAGTTCTATTAGCAGGAAACAAGCAACACTGGAGTCAGAGACAGCTGGCTGACAAAGAGTCAAAACTACATTTCACCAATTAAGATATCATTATGGATTACAAGATAAAAATAGGCCTTGGAGTCTGCCCATATCACAGCATGTGATGTGTAGAAATGCCAGTGTAGCTTCAAAGGAGCTTGGTCAGCTCCCTCAAGTGATTAATTTTTTTCTTCTGTATATATGGCCTTCGTAATCTGAACTAGTTGGAGGTAGCGTCATCTCTCAAAAGATTAACCGAATCACTATATCTGTTGAGGACACCATGAATGTGTTCAGTAAAGGGTAAACCATTTCAGTGACAAGATGACAGAAATATAGAACTTCCAAACAGAAAGGGCAGTGAGAGAAGCTGTACAGCATCCAAGGTGGGGTATAGCATTTGGTCAAAGGTCTCTGCACGACATCTGTTTCAGTGACTGGTTGGTTGCTTCTTTTTCCCAAGGCTGGAAGGATTACATGCATTTTATTCCATTTTGTGCTATCCATCTGTGATAGCTTCCTAATTCTATTAGATTACCCTCTAAATTTGGTCCCACTGGTGGCCCACAGAGATATTTATTTTGGCTGATTTCCCTCTCCAAAATTTTTTGCTATCCAATCACAATCACAAATGCCAAGCAGGATGAAGATTTCACCTAAGGAGATTTAACACACTCAAATTACCTTAAGTACAGTAATGAATTGATTGTGCAGAATGGGTCCAGGACTATGAAACTATCACCTTCAAGTTTATAAGCAGTGTGACAAAGCTGAAAAGATGAATTTTCAGTTATGCTGTATCCATTGCCATAAAGAATTCTTCCATTTTACATTATGAGAACCAGTATTATAGTACAAAAAGAATTAAGTCATGTAAAATTTAAGCAAGATAGATTCACTACATGTTCCTTTGTGAAAGAAAAAGAAAAAAAAATCAAACAAACAAACTGCAGGTAGATAAAAAGGCACAGATAGATAGAAAATAAATGAAACATTAAAGAAACATACAAGGAAAGACTTCTTTTCAGTGCAAAAGACTGGCAGTGTTACCTATTCAATGGCCTCACCAGCTATGTAATTATCAGATAAGCAAGATGGGCCTTTGACTAGTAAGCACATTTGAATAAATCATTATAATTACATATAAAGCACAAAACCTAGCTGTGAGCAAACCAAAAGGAAATTGGAGGGAACTCCATTTCTCAGAAGCAGTTCATTTCCTTCCCCTGTTTATTGTTAAACATCCTGGCCAGGGATGAATTTGATCTCTGACTCCAAAATATCTGCTGCACTGTGTATCATATATTTGCCTTTAGGACACAGCAGAGTGATCGATACATATGCACCAAAGAGAAGAAAAGGAAAAAGGGCCCTCAGACCCAGCATGTTTCTGAGCCAGTGCCAATGAAGTAGAACAGTTAACTGCTGGGAGCAATAATTTTCAGGAGGGGTTGAATGCCTGCCATTAGTTATGTTTTCTATTGAGAGTAATTAGACATCTAGCCAATTATTTCAGAACAGAACAATCAGAACTGAAACATGCCTATTTATAGAAAACAGGAAACTTCCTATTAGAAAACCAGTGTACACCTAGTGCTGTCTTTTATATTCAGGCTGTCAGAGCAGAATGACTTGTTTAAATGTTTCAACACATTCCTTAGCAACTACACCTGAAAAAAAAAATGTTCTTGGAAAACAAAAATGGAAGAAGCATGTGTTACAACAGTTACTTAGTTCTGGAACAGACTTCTCTTTGAATAGGTACAGCCTAGAAACTGCCTGTTTCATTCTTCTCACAGTTTAACTTTTTGTGGAAAATAAACATCTATGACCATGAGACCATGAGTCTGTCCCCCTTCTGCAAATGTAATGATTACAAAACTGTATTTCAGCGAAAAAGTGCTGGTGCTATCAGTATTCCAGTAACACCAAATGGCCCAGGAAAAGGATCCCAAGCTTTTGGGCACTGTATTTTAACATAGAAGATCTCCTTTACAGAAATTATTTCTAAAGTAAAGCAAGATACAACATGTGAGCTAAAACACTCCAGAATAAAAGATAAAAGAACAAAATTGACAGTAATAACACAAGTCATCTGCATGGAAAAACTCATGTTTCAAAATGTTTTTAGAGATGTTCCAGCATCTGAACGGGGGCTATAGGGATGCTGGGGATGGACTATTCATTAGGGACTGTAGCAATAGGACAAGGGGTAATGGGTTAAAACTCAAACAGGGGAAGTTTAGATTGGATATCAGGAAGAAGTCTTTACTGTAAGGGTGGTGAGGCACTGGAATGGGTTGCCCAGGGAGGTTGTGAATGCTCCATCCCTGGTGGTGTTCAAGGCCAGGTTGGACAGAGCCTTGGGTGAGATGGTTTAGTGTGAGGAGTCCCTGCCCATGGTAGGGGGGGTGGAACTAGATGATCTTAAGGTCCTTTCCAACCCTAACGATTCTGTGATTCTGTGTTTAATGATGAATGTTTAAAGAAGAATGTCCATCATCAGTGTACACACTGTTGTTTACTGCAGACTTCAAACCAGAAGCAGGCTTTAACAGGACTTTTGAAGTGGAAGGTTAAAATGGATATTTCACACCTGAAAAATTTAACTACTAGCAATTTACATGAAGCTTTTTCCATGTAAAGGGCTTTATTTACAGTTAAGGAAATCTTGTTTGCTTTATTCAACAAACCAGTGGAGCTCAGCATGTGGGAGCAGACAACCAGTTAAGTCATGTGAAATCCCACCTCATGAAGATAGTCTCTACTGCTTTGTATTACTTTTGCATTTGTACAAGCACAAGAGTGGTAACTTAAGATGAGAATTACAACTGTATGCGCATCCCCCTTCTAAGCATCTTTTCAAAACAAGATTTTTTATCTCAGCCTGTTAATTATGGCCTTGCCTACACAAGGAATGTTCATCTGTAGAATTATATTTTATGCAGGTGAAGTGAGTTTAATAGGAATACAGCTTATGCTGGGATCATGATGCTTTTATTAATCTATATTTTTTGCCAGCTCTTTCCCCCCACCTCTCATCCATTTTGCAGTCCCATCTTAAAAAGTACTCCTGTACCGGAGATGTATATCTTAGATTTACCTAAGAACATCAACCTGAGTTGCTAATCTAAGAATCAGTAGTTCAGCATACTTTGATTCCAATCAGCTGTGGCTACCTTTAATAAGTCTTATTCTCAATGCGTCAAAGTACATGCTGTTGAATTCAGAGGGCAATATGTTTTAACAGACAACTGATAGAATATACAACTTTCAATTTTCAACAAGATACCACTGTTTTCATTTGCTTTGACTCTGACTTGTCACTTGGAATAATTAGAACAGTTGATGTGGAAAAATCACTTAGAAGATAATAAATGATGGAGAAAAACAAACATGTTTTTAGCAGCAGTGGAAATAGCAAAGCAGAGACCAATAAAAACATTTAACTCTTTCAATAAAAATATTCTGCAGAGAGTTTTTGTATTCTGATATAATAGATCAAAGTGAACAGAAACAAAATACCTCCTCCAACCCTGCAGTCTCCCAGCCCTTCCGGCTCACTCCCAGTTACCTCCTGGGCATGACGTGCTGAGAACCGTAGGATTTAGTGGGGGTTTAAGCTTGCAGCACATATATTTTAGAGATGAACTTCAAGAATTCCTGAAGGTGGTTTCTTAAATGAAGTGATCTTATTCCAACCTATGAAATTATTATGGCCTCCCCATGAGCATTGGAGGTTGGATTTTGCAGGAAAACTGTTATATGCATACAACCCCATGGAGGTTTCAAGTTCTTACGTGTATACACAGAATAATAGTATTTCATTTAACCAAATGAGTAAGCTTCATCTCGAACACACAGCTTGAAATTTCATTTTACAGTGTTAAGGTTTCCAATCTGAATTTTGACCTGAAAGAACTTTGAAAATAAAATACAGTGTCCATCTTTTATGCTCATTTGATGTACTTCATTCATTCTGTGAAATAAAAAGGCTGGTCAGCTTTATTTTTTTTTTAATTTCCAATCGATTTGAAATTTTGCACTTTCTTGCACCATCACACTAGAATTAATTAATTTATAAGCACTGGAGGATAAGAAGATGACAAGAAACAGCCAACGTTTCTTTGTCAAGAACATATCTGTAAACCTAGTCTAATTTCTTCTGACAGAGTAACTGATTTAGTGAACAAAGGAAATAGTAGCAATGAAAGAGTTTTACTTTGGTAAGTCTTTGTACACTTTCCAGGTAACATACTTACAAGATGAGTGTACAACTATATGAAAAAATGAAGTCTACAAGATCAAAGTGGATGTTTTTTGGAGCAGAACCTCAGAGGATACCCCACTGTATACTGAGTTTTAATCAAAATTTTCAGTAACAAATTTAATGATGGAACAGTTAAATGCACTTCTAAATAGCAAATGATACCAAGTTGATGGGGAGTATAAGCACTTCAGAAGACCTAAGCAGAATTCAAAATAATTTTGATAAATGGTCCAAATTCAACCTGAGGAAATTCAGAACAAGTTAAAAGTGCCATAATTCAGGAGA